TGACTGATAGATCAAACGTGTACTGATAGACCAAAGAAGTTTAGCTTATGTTCAATATTTGGATGTCTTGGATGTTTTAGAGGTTCCTTGGTTGGTTTCTCTGGAAAAACAGGTCCATGTGAAATGATACATCTCTCTCAATAGGATGTTCAGACTGAAGGAGATTGCCAAAATGATAAAAGTCGAGTATCTCGTAGTAGATGCCCCATCTTCGTACAACATAATAATTGGGTGGCATGCTTTTAACCTTCTAGGGACCGCCCTTTCAACACTCTACTTGAGCATGAAGTATCCACTATCGAAAGGACATATCAATGTGATCCAATATGATCAAGAAATTGCTCGCAAATGTTACCAAGATAGTTTTAGGATTAGAAGAGCGACTATGGCAGTTGTTGCCACACCACAGTCGGCATTTGTGAGGCAAACTTTGTAGATTTATACCATATAATAGAGCTTAAGAAAAAGAGGCTCATGCTCACAGAAGACTCGAAGGAGGTATTTATCGGGCCCTAGAAATTCCACACCATCAAATTGGGCACCTCCATGACAGAAGCCGAGGAGGAGGATCTAGTCGCGCTACTAAAAAAGAACATTAATTTATTCACATGGACTCTTTATGACATGTATGAGAAGCCCAACCACGATCAAGGAGGTTAAACAGCTAACAAGGCGATTAGCCTTCCTTTCCATATTTCTTTCCTATGCAAAAGATAAGGTTTTTCACTTCTTCACCACCCTAAATAAGAATGAAAAATTTGAACGGACAAACGATTTCAAGGAGACGTTCACAAGGTTAAAGACTCCATTTGTCAACCCCTTGTGTATTAACATGTCCATAAAAAGTGTGTCATTGTACTTATATTTGTTAGTGACAGACAAAGCATTAATTTATGCTATATTTTTTTATAATAAAAAATTCATTCTATTTTCTACTATATGTTTTTCATCTATCATTTTTTCAAACAAAATTTTCCATACTCTTCAAGAAAAAATATTTTAAACCGAACTAAACCAAATCAATTAATTTGATTCGATATCTGAATCATTACAAACCAATCATTAACCTTAATGACATGCATGAATCTCCTGTTAATATGTTGATTCATCAAAACAAAACCCATTAAAAAATTTAATAAACATAAAATAACCTAAACCACCAATTTAAGAAATAGACTATAATGTTTAAAGAGAGAAGCTCACCCCTTTATCTAAAATTAGGGTTTCCTCTTTTTGTGAGCATCGCATCCCCTCCTGTAGGGACTCCTCCTCCGTCATCGGAGCTATTCACCGTCAGTATGGTGGCTATCTCCTTTTCAGTGGAGGTTTTCTCCCTACAATAAGTTTTCCTTCCTCCCTTCTTACTCTTTCAAAACACCCATCCCCGTTAAATTCACACATTTTTCTACCTCCAACCTCCATCAAGCTTTTCCCACTCTCCGTCATCAACCATCAAACGCTTGTAACTCCAAAATCATCTCCATCAACCAATGGGCCAAAGTGTTTCAGTCATGAAAAATGACCTCCACCACCGGAAGATATGAAATTCCTGAGTTTATGTGTGTGTACTTTAATGGTTACTATTATTGTGTTTTATGTTGTTGAGGTTTCTATTGTTATTTGTTTGGTTTGTTCTGTTGCGTGTGTTGTTCTTAGGTTTAGGTTGTTGTAAGTTTGTACTCAGGGTGTTTGATGAAATGCCTCAAAGAAGTTTGGATAAAGGTGATGTGTTTATGAGTGAGAATCTAACTAGGGTTGTTGCAAATCAAACTCCTTCGTCCAGTCAACAAATGGTTCCTTAATTTATGAGTTTAATCAATCTTGAGAATCTCTATAATCGAATTATGCGTGATAAAGCTAAAGAAATAATTCATAACTGGATAGATTTTAAGATTGTGGTTTCAAAACTCCCTTGGCTCTTGCAGAAGAGTTTTGTTTGGTTGCTTGGATTGAGAATTTGGATTGATAATTCTCTATTGGTTTCTAATTTCTCAAAGTTTTTTTGATGTCCATAGCTTGTTTCGCTTAATTATTAGTGTTGTTGTTAAATTATGGATGAGAAATATCCTAAACACAATACTCCTTCCGTTTCAAAATGTCTGTCGTTTTAACAAATAAATTTTGTTTCAAAATGACTATCATTTTTACTTTTCAATGTAGTAATGATTATTATTTTTTTAATTGTGTTATTTACTTTTTACTCTCAACACTACTTCCAATATATTAATAGGGTTAATTTTGTAAAAGTGTAATGTCTTATGACTAGGGGTGGGAAACGAGCATGCTCGCCCCGTTTAGGCCCGTCCCACAAAAGCCCGTGAAAAAATGGAGGGGAGGGGGGCAGGCAAAGTTGAGGATGAGGGCTTAAAACCTAGGCCCGCCCCGTAAAAAAGTGAGTGCAGGGTGGGGAAAGCCCGCAGACACTGCACCTTTTAGGCCTAAAAATACAAAATTTTATGCCAACTAAAAAGCCCGCGAAGAAAACGGGGCGGGACGGGATGGTCATATTAGAGGGTGAAGGCCTAAATTCTTGGCCCGCGCCGCACTAAAGTGCGGGTAAAACGGGCATGTCCAACGGACCGGACCTGTTTTATCACCCCTACTTAGGACAACATCATTGCATTCCTTAATTTGTGTGTAAAAAACCTTAAATGACAGTTACTTTGAAACGGAGAGAATATCTTTCTTTATATTTGTACTATCTATTTTACATATAATGCATGAGATTGTTTGCCGTAAAAAAACATAAACCATCAATTTAAAATAAATAAAAATAGATTACAATCCAAAAAAAAGAGTCTAATTTACAAATGTAGTAAAGGTCATTGAAACACTAGTAGTTAGAAGATGAGAACCTTCATTGTCATTTGCTTGTTTAAATATTCCGAGCTCAAACTTCCACTTGCATTCATTGTCAAAAAAACTGAGCTCATCGAACTACCATGCAAATGTCATAAAAACACCACACACATTTTGGCAGTTTGTCAGTGTTTTCTGCAGTCAAAATATTCTGTACTTTTTTATGAAAAACATGATGAATTATAAATTATTATGAGTGAATTGTCCTTTTGGTCCTTGAATTTGTTACCAGTTTGCAATACTTCAAAGTTCAAACCAAGATAAGGGGTCAAAGCTATGATGCAAGAGTGAAGAAAAATGATTACATTATCAATAACAATGAATATGAACTCTTGAAATATTCAATCCTCTACTATAGGTCAATTGTCTACAACACATATGTAATTGAAAATATTAGAGATAAGACAATCTTTAAAGCGAGCTATTATACAAAGTTTAAAATTCCACACTTATTACGTAGTTAAAAATGACTTCATAAAATATTTGTTATGATTAAATGCATGTTTGGTTTGGCTTTTGGAATGACCAAAAGCAATTTTAGAGAGTAGAATTGATTCTGGTTGGTTTTGAATTGTTTGGTTAGACAAAAGTAGAATTGGTTCTGCTTTCAGAATTGATTCTACTTGAAGCTAGAATTTGTAACTTGTCTCCAAAATTGATTATGAGTGATTTTTACACTGAAATTTATTGTTCAACTCAGTTACATAAATATATACAAACATAAATCAATTCTGCTAAACTCAATTCTACTAGAATCAATTTTGTCCGCCGCCAATCCAAACACACCCTAAACTGAGACAAAATAGAATCTCTATATATTATTTTTATAGCTACGTCGTAGTTAACCTACACAAGATCTCCAAAAATTTAAAACGACTCTATTAAAAGACACTTGCATAAGGAATTTTTGGTTATGTCAGAAACTATTCATTGTTATATTCTGAATTTGAATTCTCTGCACTCGAGGATTTCACGCACTCACGTTGTCAAGATGATATCAACTGCTTGATCTTGATGGTATGACTCACACAAAACAGCTCATATTTTCTCATAATTATCTGTTTTAAATCAGAACAGTCCAATCTTAATCGAATGGTTAGATATGTTTGAATGTGTGAAAGCAGGCTTGTTTTGGCTGCAGCAAATCTGAATTGGATGATTCTCCATCTAAGTTATCTCAAGAAAAGCTCAGATGCAAAAACTATAGGAATTTTACTGAAAATAGCGAATGTGGCATGTAGAGTTGCACTAACACAGTTACGAACAACGAATACGACATTGATATTTACATATTGATAGTGTTAATTATAATTTGATAAAATAGGATAACTGAATGTAACCAGATATGTCGGACACGCCTATAAACTGAAATGTTGTGCTACATAGGATAGAAGTTCTTCAAATTGATGAATTTTGAAGGGAAGTTGAAAAGTTTCAAAGAAGTCATTTGCATAGACATTGGTACAGTTTTGCCACCTGTAGGCCTATAATTTTGTCCCGCCCTGCGAAAAAGTATAGATAAAACAGACATGCCTAAAAGACTAGACCCGTTTTACCACCCCTAAACATAGACACGTCGACATGACACATACGCTGACATTCAAGATTCATAGAAATCATTTGCATTTTGCAAGATTCATTCTACAGAGATAAAAACTTCTGAGATGATAAAGCACTAAATAAAACCAAACAGATCCAATAAGAACTTTGACAAATATATGATTATGAAACTATATCATCAATTTCCACAAACAAACTTATCATCATCACTCCATTCTAATCTATACAGAACAACAACAAAATTAATCAACAACACACCTCTGGCCAAACCAAATCCACAATCCTATCTCTAGCCATCCCATTCCACCTGCAACAAGAAACTAACATCATAAGAAAAACAACCAACACAATAATCATAAGTTAACCAATCAAAAACTTCAAAACTAGTAGAACCCCTCCTCACCTTATATCTGAAGACTTGAATACAGTGGAGCAAATCAAAGCAAACCAAATCCATTTTCTATTGAGTTTTTCTATTTCTTCAAACTCTACCAAATATACAACAATAATAAGTAAAAAAAAAAAAAAAAACATTTTTTTATATAAACCTCAAACTCTGCACAAACCCATGAAAAATCTCTCTACTGTTCTGAATTTTGAGAATCATCCTTAGTAGGATTGTGATTTTGCTGATGAACCCTAGTTTGATGATTTTGACCAAACTGGTGATAAATCTGAGTCAAAGCCTGTTGATTCAACACCCCAATATGTCCATCTTGTGACAAACCAAGTTCCAACCCAGGTGGCATCTGCTGATTCCCACCCAAAATTGATGTAAAACTCATCCCACCCAAATTAGTCCCTGGCATATCAAATCCAGAAAACCCAATTTTCTGAAAATAACTTGAACTATTTTCACTAGCTATACCAGTAGTTAAACCAGATGATGATTGATGAAATCCAAATCCATGGGGCCATAAACTTGATGAGCTAACCTGATGGGCCTGATGGGTGGCCCAGCTGGTTTGCAATTGTAAACCAGAAGACAAAGATGAACCTTGTGGTGTCAAACTGTTGCCGGATGAAGCCATAGCTGAAGCTGGAATTGTTCCTGTTCCCGTTGCAGCTATGATTGATGGCTCGGATTGTTGAAGAAGCCATTGAATTGTTTCACCATCCGATTTATGACCCAACTCTTTCGTCAGTTGAAATATTCTTGCAGCGCATAAAGCCGGCATCCTTATTCTCCTTCCTCGTCCTTCAACTTTTGTGTGTCTGTCTTTGTTTGATGTTCTTTTTGGTGCTAGCTGTTTCTTTGTTTCGTCTTGTTTCGTTTCAGATAACACTGTCTGAAGATTCTTTGATTCGGATATTTGTTGTTTGTTTTCATCTCCCATGTTGTTCTTTGATGGTTGTGAGTTTTTGGGATCCATGAAATGATTGAAGATGTGGAAGATGAAAAGTCTTAAAGTTTCATGAGTTTTGAGTTTTTTTTCACTGTTTCTTGCAAGAATTGAGGGACAAAGTTTTTGATGATTGAATATTAAATTGGCAATGTGTGTGGAATATTTTATTTGAGTTTGTGGTCTTTTTTGTCTGTGTTGTCTTTTCTTACCTCTTTCTTTGTGTAGTGGGTTTTGGGTTTGACCAAACAGATATGAAAATTTTGATTTTTGAAAGTTACTTTAACTGCTAGTTTTACAACCTTGGAGACTACAACAATAGTAGTAGGATTTATGTATTATTGAAAACTTATGAATAAATTATGACAATTAATTAAAATTAATTATGTATATTTTATTAATTGTGTTAAATAATAATTATTGTATTGTTATGTCGTACTTTAAGTGTCTCTATTTCTCCCTTTAAAGCACGAAATATTGACGTTATCATTTAAAAATTTAAAAAACAAATTAAGCGGATTGACGCCTTTAATAAAAGTCAATTCAATTGGTGCATAATCTTTGTTCTTTAAAAGGAGTATCAATTCATCTCGCGCTTCTTTTGTTTGTCTTTTTTTTTTAATTGGAAATAAAATATTATGTTTTACTAATATGTACCATTTTATATAAATAGAGGTGTCTTTTACTATTTTTTTCACACATCTTTTCGTTTTCTTTTTAATTTTTTCTTCATTTGTTCTAACATGAGCAGTAAAAGACATGAACATGTTTTTTATTTGAGAATCAAGCCTCCAATGAAGATGCGCATTTGAAACATCTGGAGTTTCGAGCAACTTGAGAGGAATTTGATCCTTTAGTTAGACTGAAAGATTAATGATGGTGAAAGAGTTAGAAGAATTGATAGACTTGTTTTGTACATCTCTATTGTGGATGACAATGATGATATCCAACGTATATGGATACCAGTTAAAGATGACAACAATGTTAGAGATATGATGTTTGCATCAGATGATATTGTTTTGACGGTTGTATGCTTCTAGATATGTTATGGTGTTAAGTAGGGATGTCAATGGGGCCAGGCGGGAGCGGAGGATAGATTTTCATCTCAATCTCCGTCCTCGAATCTATTCCTCATCCCCATCTCAGATTCCCTCTACGGGGGGATTTTGTCCCTCATCCCCGTCCCCGCGAATCCCCAAGGTTCATGTGAAGATTCATAAACATGAAATTTAAAAAACCAAAACTTAGAAATTTAAAATTTAAAAAAACTAACCACAAGAAATCTAGAAATTATTCTTATATGATAAATATATTATTTTAACAATATTTAATCTATAGTATTGAGTGTCATGACAACCAAAATTTCAAACATAAAAAAATTTAAAATAATCATTTAGATCTCACTCTTTTACTAGCAATACATTTATATTTTAAATTTATTTATAAGATAAATTACATGAAATGACAAACAAACCTACACAGTAATGTAAAATTATATATATAAATTAAAGATATTATGGTATTCTAGGCGGGGCGGAGACTCTACGGGGCGAGGAATATATACGCCACCCCCGTCCCTGAAGTGCCTTTGGGGAGACTTTGTCCCTCATCCCTGTCCCTGCGAGGGTAAAATTCCCCGTCTTTGGGGCTCTAAACAGGGAACCCCGCGGGGATCCCCGCTAACGGAAGCAAGTTGTCATCCCTAGTGTTAAGTCTTTTTATTTGTTATTTGTGTTGTTGTTTTAGGTGTGTTTATGTTTGTTTTGTTGTAACCAAAAGTCGTTATTGATATTAATTTTCAAGGTTACAAAATATTTAACAAGATAATAAATTATCATCCAGAGTTTATTTTAACCGTAGAACCTTGTTTTGCAGGTAACAGGCCTTTAATCAAGACATCAGTTTTTGATGATGACAACTAAGGACAACTAATGATGAGTCAAGCACATCACTTAAATTGTTTGATAAATTGAACCATTCGAAGAAGGAAAATAAAGTAAAGCAAACTTAAGTGTTAAGTTTGATGAACTATCTGAAGATGGAAAGGAAAGAGGAAAGTATTCAAAGTCTCAAGTGATCTCTAGCAGTGTTAACACAAAGATAGTATCTGACAAAGGGTTATAGGAAAGAAGTTAATATCCTGATTTAACAAGTGAGTGAACTTATGTAAGCAACAAGATTTTCCGTAAAAGTATAAGGCTATAAGCACACACACACACTAAAACCTTTTTTAAAATGTTTTTATCAAGAGAAAGCATCTTCAAATTTGTCTCGTAATTGTGCCATATGACTTAGGAGTTGTGGGAATAACTAGAGGGGGAAATTAACTAATCCAATCAATTGGGGCTTTTGTTTAATCGATTAGATTAATTCAAACTTATGCGCCAAGCTATTTAGACTGCACCTTAATGATGTGCAATGACTAGATATATTTTCCTTCTTTTTAATGAGCTCATAATCGACTATTTTTCAAAATCTAATTGATTAGAATAAATGCTAATCAATTAGGTAATGAGAAAATTCAATGATTGCAAATTCCGTTTTGGGCACATCTCTTTCCTATAAATAGAGTCTCCTTTTCTCATTTCAAACCATCCAGAATTGTGTTTGGAAACTACCTTCTCTCACTCTCTCTCTCTCTCTCTCTAAGTTTTATTTTAATTTTCTATCACTAGATTTTATAACCAAATGCTTTTGTGAGAAAAGTCTCTTTATGAGTGAGGTTACTTGTAAGAATATTGTTTATATATACATTTGTTAAATACTGTCTAATTGGGGATTATTTGTGGTTAGAAGCTAAACCCGATAAAAGTTTAGGTAGGGGATTGTGTGATTAGTCCTAGATTGAAGATTAGTTGTTATTAAAATATTCCTTGGTTCTTGGTTAGCCTGGTTAAAACCAAGATAGGTTGAAGATTAGCATGATATTAAAATCTTCATAGGTTAAGAGATCAGCCTGGTTAAAATCTTAAAGGTTGTTTAATTATCCTGTTAAGCTAGAGGAATTGAGCTCAAAATATTTTAGAACTTAAAGACTAACCACTCCAAGGTCCGTGTTCGTGGGAAGGAAACTAACCACTTCAATTCACTGTTGGAAAGGAAGATTGGCCACTTCACTCTCAACATTTTATTGAAGAAAAGACGCAAATGCTCATATTTATCGTCTTATAATATTTGGTCGAAGGCCAACAATCATTTCCTTGTATAAGGGGGTTTGTGAGCATTTCCCACTAAAAACTCTCAAGTATTGGAAATTCTCAAGACCAAGTCTTAGGGAGAGGATTAGGTCTTTTTTATTTGACTGAACCTCTATAAAACAATGTGTTCTTCTTCATTCCTTAACTATTTACTTCATGATATTTACCTTCTGTTGCTCAAACTTTTAAAATGTTTTTAAACTCTATTTTAACTTGCAAGAAGTTTTCAAAACTATGTTTTTCCAAACCAGACAATTCATTCCCACCTCTCTTATGTGTGAAGTCTCAAATGCAACAAGTGGCATCAGAGCCTAACTCATGTTTAAGGACTAATTGTCTCAGGAGAGAAATGATTTCCCACACAAGATCTTTTTTAAATTTACCACCACATTTTGAAAATAACAACCTTTTTATTTGACAAGCTAAATTCAAACTTTTTCTTGACAGTTTAGATTGTAGATTTTGGGAAACAATTATAAGAGGTATGATTTAACCCTCTCATCAAATAAATGACGAAGTAGTGGATAAACTCTATTCACTTTAGACCGAAGAAGAAAAGAGAAAGATAAATATAGATCTCAAAACCAAGAATTTCATAATAATGTCTTTAGATAATAATACTTTTCTCTGTTCGTCTTTGCAAAACCGCTAATGAAATGTGGGATACTCTGGAATAGATATATGGAGTTTATCTAAGTATCAAACTAGAGAAGATGAACACACGAGACAAAGAAGATGCATATACTAGTCTTGGATACTCTTCTATTTTTAGAAATAATTAATCTTTGTTGGAAATTATTGTACTCCAAAATTTTCCCTCCATTTTATTCAATACATTCTCCCAGGGTTCTCAAATTCTTAAGGTTGCTCAAGAATTGATCAGAAAAATTCTCCTCCTAAGCAATTGACCCACAACTAGGGTTTTGTGTTTCTCAAGGAAGATTGGTTTTTTAGGTCTCAAGTGGATTTCATGGTCTCTTATATGTCTCAAAGAATGCTCATACCAAGTTTTATGCCTTGCATCACAAATTTGCTCACTCAATAGCTCAGATGACTAAAAATCAACTGTATTGGGTAAAAAGTCAATTATGGTCAACATACAGTCAAACATCAATATTTTTGGTCAACATCAAAATTTTGAAGTCATATCCATCATTTTATCAAGGGTTGATCATGATTCATCAAGGAAAACTCTCAAATTATCAACAATCAAAAGTTGTCAAATTAGGGTTTCTTAAGGAGAAGTCAATTGAACTTTGACCAAGCATAACTTTCACATGCTTCATCAGATTTTCCTCAATCAAAGCTCATTTTGAAGGAAATTCAATTCTCTACAACTTTTTCACTCTAAGCTCAAGTTCAAAAATGTTTCATTTGAGAGATATGGGCCAATACATTATAGGTCATTTTAAAAGTCAACAAAAAGACACTTTTTATCAAGGAAACTTACATCAAGATAAAGTATTCAAATATGGTAAACATAGAGATTGTAGAGGACACCTTGAGATTTCCAAAAAGTCAAAGATCACCTTAAAATGATAAAAATTAAGAGAGTTATGACTAGTGCAAGTTGGGAAATTTTGAGCAAATGCATGAAACCAAAAGTGACCAAACATGGAATTTTGGGCTATTGGGCTATTGTTTCAAAGTCCAGACGTGTTTTGCAGCTTATAATGAACATAACATATTACTTGTGCACCCCTTGATCTTTTTATTCTAATTATTTTAATTTTATTCATTATTAATTCAAATTAATAAGATGATAAGACAAGGCTTATTACAAGAGTCCAAGCTCAACTTTTGACCTAAATTCTCTTCTATATATTCACTTCA